GACGCCGATTAGCTGAATATATTATTATTTGAGGCTGCGATTTTGTGCGCGTCTCGCAGTTTGTTGCTCCTGACGTTCGTATAATTTTGATTTTACGGAGTTGAATTCGTTACCTATTTTTCTCTTATTATTTGCCGGTTCGTCTCGTCATGTTTCCAGAATATGATCCGGTGTGTGTTTTTTTGGAAAAACAATTTTCGCAGTGGACGAATGAAGATAAAAAAGGATTTTTCAAGTTCAAATAGACCTTTGCCTGTACTAAATATAAACAAAATTTCGAAATCCAAAGACAGAGCGTTTACGCGGAAATGTCGCAACGAATGGTATACGGAATATAAGTGGTTGTGTGGTAGTTATTATTTGAACAAACTTTTTTGTTTACCTTGTTTGCCAGTCATATGTTTACCTGTGGTGCTACTTGGTCTGCTTCACCTCTTTCCAAAGGCACGAGCCGCCACTGTTTTGTACCTCAGTTTCCTGCAAGGATACTACACACTACTACTATAGGATAGTCTATCCTCATAAGGCCTGTGTAGTTCAATCTGAAGCCGCCGCTGCCATGCCAAAATATCATCAGTGATGACGTAGACAGCGTGTCGTTTCTCGTCTTCACGTAGGGTGTTTGTACCACAGGTTATGATTCTGCGGGCTTTTCCTTTATGCAAAACTTGGTTCCACTACATTAATTAATATTCTGAAACAACTCTTTCTCGTTTTTGGTAATCGCCGCCATATTGGTTTTCAACTGTTTTCAACCATTGTCGACGTCATAACTAAGTTTTCAGCTGTTTAAACAGCCTTCGTCAAGGCGAGAAACGCCATGCTGCTTACGTCACAACTGGTTGTTTGGCTAAGGGGGGTAGAGGGGGATTTTTTACAAACAGGCCTTATGAGGATAAGCCATCCTGTAGTAATAGTAGTGTGTATCATCCTTGGGTATATGTACCTACTTATTTCCGCACGTCTGTAAAAAACCCATTGTACCTAACACATGCGAAAAATCTGTCTTCCGAACTTGGCTGCTTCACCGAATTCCGCTACGCGTCTTTGGGTGAACGACAGACTCGTGCGGAAAAATTCATTTTTCGCACTTGTTAGGTAAATATGTTCTGTACTACCAACAAATAACGAAACCGAACTCTGATAGCGAATTCCATTGGAATAAAGGTTAGTGCGCACCGAGTGTATTCGTATCTTATTCTACCAGCTTATATAAGAAAGAGATAAAAATACACTCTTTCGCACTGATTTTACCAATGGAATTCGCTATGAGAATCGCCTAAAACTTTTCAATTATAGGCATAGCGAATTCTATTGGTAGGATTATTACAAAAAATTTATTTATCTCTTATGCAAGCTAGTAGAGAAAGATATGAATACACTCAGTGTGCACTATCCCTTTGAATAGAATTCGCTATGGCATGCGCCGGGCAGTGCGGACACTGTGCAAACTAGAAAACAAGTTAGGGCCAGTTGCTGAAAAGTAAAAATATAAAAAATAGATTTATTTGTTAGGTGTAGGGTACATTTTTTTCGTCCATCGTAACGATCTTGGGGAGGGGTAATTACCCCCATTACCCCCCCCCCCCTTGTATACGCCGGTGTTGACGTCATTATTTCCTTCGAAACAAACACTACAATTATGGCGCATGTGGAGACACACTTAGAACATATTATACAGGGTCATACAAAAGTACCTATATAGGGTGTTCTGATAAGTGTTTCCGGATATTTTTCTCAAACTAGGAAACATTTAATACTTTATAGCAATAAGTAACATGATCGTTTACAATTATACGTGAAATGTAATATCCAACAAATGGCCACCATGACTTCTCTCACAACACACAATTTGTTTGCCAAAACTTTCGATCACATCTATGCATATTTCCGGTGGTATCTCACAAATAATACGCCGAATCTCATCTTTCAACTCTTGAATTGTTTGGGGGATTGTTAGAATACGCTTTGCTTTTGATGTAACCCCACAAAAAGAGTCTAGTGACGTTAGATCGCAAGATCTAGGCGGCGAATTGACATCCCCATTTCTTGAAAGAAGTTTACCTTCCAAATCGTGTTTGCGATAAGTCAATGGTTTATCTTGCTGTGTGACATTTTGCTTACATCAAAAGAAAAGCGTATGTGAACAATCCCCAAACAATTCAAGAGTTGAAAGATGTGATTCGGCGCATTATTCGTGAGGTACCACCGGAAATGTGCACAGATGTAATCGAAAATGTTGGCAAAAGAATTGTGTGCTGTGAGAGGAGTCGCGATGGCTATTTGTTGGATATTGTGTTTTACGTATGATTGTTAACGATCATGTTACTTATTACTATAAAGTATTAAATGTTTCCTAGTTTCCTTTTCATTTGAATTGAAAAAACCATCCGGAAATACTTATCAGAACACCCTATATACTTTTGTATGACCCTGTATAATATGTTCTAAGTGTGTTTCCACATGCGCCATAATTGTAGTGTTTGTTTCGAAAGAAATAATGACGTCAATAGCTATATTTCACATAAAATCGTTTAACTCATAATAAAATCGTAGTCGGCTGCGATATTTAAAAAATCTCAAAAACGTCCCGAGGTACTAAGATACTCTTCTAAACTGCATACCAAAAATCTACTTAATCCTCCCTCCAGCAGAATGGGGTGAACCCAAACTTTCGTAAAGAAATCGCCAACTTATTTTTCACCCTGTATCTTTCAGCAGGTGGACGGAAATCTGTTAGCAAATGGAAATCAATTAGCAATTAGAGCAGCCTTTCACTCCTGAAAATTTAAACAAAATCTGTCTGCTAGATTTTGAAATATGGTCTTACAAGAAGTGACCAAAAATTGGGGTGTTCGAGTTCGATTGATGCGTAGAAATTCACCTGACCGTCTTTCTACCGCTTGCACATTCAAAAATGCGATGGTATTCTGCATACACATTTTTTTTCTTCGCGCGTTCATGTATGTGCGTACATGTTTTCAGACATCCACGTCCGTGTGTAAACGCCTTTACACACAAATCACGGTACCGTTTTTCATTCATACTTTCTCTCATTAAAATTACCAGTTCAGTCTACCCATTCCGATAAATAACCCCCCCCCCCCCTCCAAACTCTCACGCCACCACCACCAAAAGCCTCTCTTACTTCCATGCATTCTTTTCTGTAGCTCTCACGCGTTTCTTTACATACTAATACACGCCCGTCATTCTAATACAGCGTGTATCTGCATTCATCGACAAACAAACATCCCTACCATTCAGCCACTCCCCCCCCAGTGTCTATTGTCTATGAATATTAGCCCAGTTTATTCGTGCTCTTCGATGGACTGCTTTTAATAATGGACATTGTCTGGCTCTTAAATTTCTCTCATGGAGACGTCTTTGTTGATTTTGAGGCTTCAATTTCTAACGCGATCCTTATTCGCGAAGAATTGAGAGCTCTGTTTTGTCGCACTGGTAAAAGAATTCTGTTGTCATCCCGGACCGAAGTAATTCTTGGTTTACCACCTGCAATGTCTATAAGCAGCGGTGCCGGTGTTAAACCCTATTTTATTGGCCATAAAATTGTGCGACTTTGCCCTAATTCAACCGACCTCATATCTTTAATAATAAGCAAGATACCTCTGGTTAGACAAATAGACACACTGTATATTTTTGTATGACCCTGTATAATATGTTTTAAAGTGTGTTTCCATATGCGCCATAATTGTAGTGTCTGTTTCGAAAGAAATAATGACGTCAATAGCTATATTTTACATAAAATCACATAATTCAAGATAAAATCGTAGTGGGCTGCGATATTCAAAAAATCTCAATGACGTCCCGTGGTACTAAGGTACTCTTCTAAACTGCATACCAAAAATCTATTTAACCCTCCCTCCAGCAGAATGGGGTGAACCCAAACTTTCGCAAAAAAATCGCCTACTCATGTTTCACCCTGTATCTTTTAGCAGGTGGCAGGAAATCTGTTAAGAACTGGAAATTAAATAGTAATTAGAGCATCCTTTCACTCATGAAAATTTGAACAAAATCGGCCTACTAGTTTTTGAGTTATAGCCTTTCAAAAAGTAACCAAAAATTGGGGTGTTCGAGTTCGATTGACGCGTAGTTTAGTTTATCAATAAATGAAATAATGCTGCGGATTTTGAGTCATTTCTAAACCACTTAATTTATAAATGAGTCAACCAGAGTAATGAGGGAAATCCGCTTCAGTAATTAACTCATTGATGAGTCGTTCAAAGTACGAATTCTGATTTGAAAACGAGTGAGTTAATCTATTCCAAGTCATGCTATTACATAGACAATTCTTATATTTTTCCAAATCAGATTTGTGAAGTTTAGGAGTTTATCTAGACCACATTATATTACGATAATTTAGGATGTTAAATGTGATCGCTAAATGCCGCAATGCGACAAATTGCTTCTGAAAAAAAAAAATAGCTGCATAGAAAGTTATAATTATTGCTGGTGCATTGAAATGTGGCCGGTTTAGAAATGACTGGGATGAGAAATATACTATTAATAAACTTTAGTGAGGGAGAGTGGATTGAAACATTAATTAACAAAAAGTTCCCAAAGGAATCTTGCTAATCGATCGCAACATTTCGAATATTAAAATAAATTACTATCCAAAAAGTATAAGGCATAAAAAAAATAATTTATTTATTCAACGTTTGGCTGGTGTTTATATGCAAAATAGTATGTTTAATTAAAAGAGGAAGAGAAATAAGGAAAAAAAGTTTCAATTTGGAGTAAATGGAATAGGAAACAGTTTTCAATCAACTTACAAGAGCATATATTATACTTTCTGATATTATTAATTATTTATCAATCACAGAGTATTAAATTCTCTATTAATAGCTCTTACATGTTACCAAGTTACTGAGGTTCAAAATTGAAAATTTAACACACCCAGAATAATGTTCTATCAAATCAAAGTACTGGGTAGGTACTGGACATGCTCAGGAAAATATGTATTATTAGAGGATATATATTACCTTTACAAGTTCTTTTTCAACGTTGTCCTTAGAAAAAATATTAACATCGACCACAAGAACTTCCACATTTAAAGCTCTAGCTGTTAGTAGTACAGCTCTCACTCCCTCGTTCATGTCGCTACCGTAAAGTTTAGGCGACATTTTCTCTAATTTGAATCTAGAATCTGAAAACAAATCGGATATTACAATAATCGCCGGTCTGGTCAAGCGAAACGCCTGTCCTTCAAAATAGTTTTCAAATGTGAATGTATTTTATCAGTTTAGATTTGGTTCAAGAAAAATCTAATAATGCTCTAAAACCAGTGAAATCTCAATTTTACTACTCACATAGTTGAAATGGTATACCTATAAACTGCTTCTTTGGTTTTTCCACTTAGATGTATTAATAAAAATTGTATAATAATTTTAAATGCATCTAAATGAATTTTGTTCATGTGTTAATGCGGTTGGTTTTAGTAGGCTGATAATTCTATTTATATTTCGTTTTAATTTTAGCCCCATTGTATAGAAATTTAATCTTCTTATGCATAGTTTTTGTTAGTAAACTTAATAAGGCTACCTGTTAACTGAGCATTTTCAATTTTATCATCACATTTTTCAGAACACAAATCCAACTGCACTTATTATGATAGGATTCAACACCTGAAAACTATTTCAGGAATTAGAAAACAACCACCACACAAACCTAAATAAAAACTATGTAGAAAATTGGTAGTCGGTAAAATGCGGCATGGTTTTTTGCTGCGTTTGTGCCTCTTGATGCGGCACCGACCGATGTTCGACTGCTCTCCCACTTTCCAACAGGAGGGCATTTTCTGCCAGAAAATACGAAGAAAAATCAATATGAAGTTCGCTGCTGCCAGAGTTTCTATTCGGGATGATCCAGGAGTAAAAAGGTGGGGCAATATTATATGATTTTTGAGTAGATGGATTATCTGAATCTTATCTGGCAAAAGTTTAGTTTTTAATATTTTAATAAAACTACATACACAAATTTCTATTGTTTTTATTTAAATACAAAATTAGTACATATATACAATTGTATAAAAAAATAATTTAGAATATTTATTTACAGTTTAAATAACATTAAATTGTTTGGAAACCTAATTCTCTAAAACTTTATTTAAAAACTTACAAACGACAAGAAATGTATACCTACACAATTGATTAAAATTTAGCTAAAATAAATAATATTAAAATAATAATGTTAAAATAAATTAATCTAATAATATTTGTACAATAACACTAGACATAATTTTACGTGTTGGATTTCTGGCAAGAATTTTTCATAATCAACTAATGGCACCTATTTTAAAACTACATAGTGGCAGTGGTGAAACATGAATTTTTCTTTGTATCATATACAAGAAAATAATAATAGCTATTAAAGGTTCTAGAGCTTTGAAATCATTGACATACAAATTAAGTTCTGCTTGCAAAGAACAAGGATTTTAAAATTTGTAAGAGTTAGAGACATTATAAAGCATCTACTCTGAGCTTGAATAATTTTTGCCCTAAACACGTTTTGAAATTGTACCCTGAAAGCCAGACAAACACTCTAGAACATCAACTATAAATCATCAACAGTGGCGTATCAACCCAGCTCCGGGCCTGTGTGCCAAAATTTCTGCGGGCCCATCACAAGCCCCCCAAACTAACCCAAATTTCGACCCAAAAGTCGTTCAAAAAACACTCCTAAAATTTTTTATTTAAACGTTGAATTGTGAATTCACCATTTTCAAAAGTGGTATGAATAATTATATCCTGTTCACAATCCGAGGTACACAGGTGCAGGTAAATTTATCACCATAGGCGCAACTAGGGGAATGCTTGGAGTGCTAAGCACCCCTAAAGCAAAAATTAGCACGCCTATTCGGCATCCCACCATAGCACTACCTAACACTTTAATAAAAAATTAGTGCAACCAAATTATTTTATGTATTTTTTTGCACTTTTTGTACTTATTTACGTCATCGATGACGTCATAATTTAGAAAAAAGTATTTCTCGTTGATTAATTCATAGAGCACGTTCGCAATTATTATTGTTAAAATCAAGACTTTCCTTAAAATATACGGTTTTTATCTTATATTCATTTAAGATGACGTCATCGAACAAGATCAGACAATGTTGTCAATGTTTATGTTTATTCTATATCTTAAGGTGCTCCATCTCTTAAAAAATCATTGGAGTCCCAAATATATAAATTAATTAACTGCGTATTATACAGGGTGTTCTTAAATATCATGTACAAACGACAAAGGATGATTCTTTTTTTTTACGACTAAAATTTCAAATATGTTCTAAAAAATTGACTTATTTAAGCAATTAAAAAAAAATCACCCTTTTACATTTTAATTTTTTTCTAGAAAACTTGCAAAGAGAAAATTTTGAAAATTTTCCAGGAATAAGAGGAAAATGAGAAGCTCATTTTACGAAAATTTCAACATTTTTCAGTAAAAAATTAATCCAGGAAAAATTTTGAAAAACTTACTTTTCAGCAAAATTAAGGAGAATTCATCCTCTTACATTTTAATTTTTTTCTAGAAATCTGGCAAAGGGAAAATTATGAAATGTTTCCAGAAGTAAAAGAAAAGTGAGGAGCACATTATAGAAAAATTTCAAAATTTTCCAGTCAAAAATCACACCAGGAAAAATTCTGGGAAATTGACTTTTTTAGGCAAAATTCACCCTCTTACAACCGGGAAACTGGCAAGAAAATTGTGAAAATTTTCCAGAAAAAGAAGAAAATAAAGAGCTCATTGTAGCAAATTTTGTAATTTTCGAAGACTCGTAATTTCCGTAATTTTTCTTTAGAAATTTTTTAATTCCTGTCATTTCTCAAATAGTTCTTATATTTTTCGTAATTTTTTAATTCCCGTAGTTTCTCAGAAAATTCCGTTATTTTTATAATTCCACGTTTTTGTATATTTCAAAAATTAGTAGGTAATTCCCGTAATTTCCGTATTTTTTCTGGGCATTTTTCAAAATCATTTCCCGAAAGCTTTTGTGATTTCTAATTCTCGTAATTCCCGTAACTTTTTCGTAATTCCTGTAATTTTTTATAATTCTCGTAACTTTGATAGTTTTCGTAATTTTCAATTGTCGTAATTTTTTAAATTTCTTGGACGTTTTTTGAAATTTTATAATTTCCCGGTCTTTATAATTTTTGTAATTGTAATTCCTGATTCTTGTAATTTTTGTTTTTTTCTAACTTTTTGAAAATCATCATAGGTTTTTTCGATTTTTGCAATTTGTTAATAAATTTCCGTGATTTATTTCCAGAATTTTCGTAACTTTCCTAATTTCCATAATTTTTTAAAAATTTAATCCTGAAATTTTTCGTAATTTCTGCAATTTTTGCAATTCTCGTAATTTCTTTATTTTATTTTTCAATAATGATAATTCCCGTAAGTTTTTGAAATTTCCGTTATTTTTGAAATTCTCGTGATTTTTATTATTTTTTCGTAAAACGTAATTTCTAATAATTTTTTGCAATTTTACGTAATTTTTGAAATTCGCGTAATATTTTTCAATAATTTTCATTGTTTTCCGTAATACTCGATTTTTTTCTAATTTTATAATTCTTCTCTCAATTTTTTTTAATAATTAATGTAATTTCCATGATTTTTTGAAATTTTTGTGATTTTTGTTAATATTTTTCCATATTACGTAATTTTCCAATAATTTTCGTAATTTTACATAATTTTTGAAATTTCCATGATTTTTTTTCGTAATTTTATAATTCTCCTAATTTTTCAATAATTGTAATTCCCGTATTTTTTGAAATTTCCGTGATTTTTTGTAAAATTCGTTATTTTTCATTTTTATAATTCCTGTAATTTACGTAATTTATCAATGACTTTTGTAGTTCTACGTTATATTTGAAATTGCCAATAATTTCCATTGCTTTTGTAATATGTACTCAAATTTTATAAATCTGCTTTTTAGTTTTTAATAATGGTGATTTCCGTAACTTTTTAAATTTTCCGTAATTTTTGCAATTCTCGTAATTTTTGTTACTTTTCCGTTATACGTTATTTTCCAATGTTTTTGAAATTTTAATAATTTTTGAAGTTCCCGTGATTTTTTTCGTAATTTTATAATTCTCCTAATTTTTTTCAAATTTAATTTTCGCAATTTACCCATGATTTTCGCAGTTCTACATAATTTTTGAAATTCCCGTGATTTTTGTAATCCTCGTAATTTTTGTAATTTTTTCGTAATTTCCGTAATTTGCAATTTCACGTAGTTTTTGAAATTCCCGTAATTTTTTAAAATAATTTACATTACATAAGTATTTCCATTCCCGGTTTTTTTCGTAATTTTGCAATTCAAATTTTCATGATATTTGCAATTTTAATGATTTTTGTTATTTTTTTGTAGTTTCCGTATTTTATGTAATTTTTCAATTTCCCGTAATTTTTCAAAATTCCCGTGATTTTTGCAATTTTTCCGATTTTTTTCATTTTTTCGCGATCCCTGTAATTTTTGAAATTTCTATAATTTTTTAATTTATTTTTATTAATTCTATATTTTCCGTATTGCTGTATTTTCCGTAATTTTTTAATGGAATTTTTATAATTTTCCTAATTTTTGTGATTTCTGTAATTTTTTGAGGAATCTTCGCAAATTCGGTAATTTTTTAATTTTTTCTTAGTTTCTAATATTTTTCAATTTTTGTAATTCTTTAATAAATATTTTCGTAATTTTTTAATTCTTTTAATTTTTATAATTCTAATAATTTTTTAAAAATCTAGTAACTTTTTGTAGTTTTGAAATTTTTGTAATTTTCGTAAAATTTTCCGAAATTTTTGCAATTCTTATATTTTTCAAATTATCAATTCAAAACTATAGGAATTATATACATAATTCAAAATTTCAAAAAATATTCTGAAATTACAAAAAAATTGGGGAATTACAGGAATTATTCCAAAAATGCAGGAATTACTCAAAGTTATTCAAAATAACAGGAATTATTTGTAAATTACGGAAATTTTCTCAATATTACAAAAAATTACAGAATCTACGAAAAATGGAAATTATGAAAAATTACGTGAATAACGAAAAATTACGAGAATTATGGACATTACGAAAAACTATGAAAATTACAGAAATTATTGCAAAAATTTTCGAATGAAAAATCACTCCATGGAAAAATTATGGAAAATTGACTTATTTAAGCAAAATTAAGGAAAATTCACTTCTTACATTTTAATTTTTTTCTGGAAAACTGGCAGAGGGAAAATTTTGAAAATTTTCCAAGAAAAAAAGGAAAGTGAGGAGCTCATTATAGGAAAATTTCGAAATTTTTCAGTGAGAAATCACTCTAGGGAAAATTCTGGAAAATGACTTTTTCAAGTAAAATTAAGGAAAATTCATCCTCTCACAATTGTTTCCTAGAAAATTAGCAAAAGAGGAAAAAGAGGAAAGTCATTATAAGAAAATTTCAAAATTTTCCAATGGAAAATCGCTCCAGGAAAAATTCTGAAAAAATGATTTTTTCAAGTAAAATTAAGAAAAACTATCACATTTTAATTTATTTCTGGAAAACTAATAAAGCAAAACTTGTGAAATTTGTCCAGAAGAAAGAAGAAAATGAGGAGTTCATTATAGGAAATTTTCAAAATTTTCTAGTGAAAAATCACTCTAAGGAATGTTGGAAAATTGACTTTTCTAAGCAAAATTCATCCTTTCACATTTAAATTTTTTTTTGGAAAACTGCTAAAGGGAAAATTTTAAAAGTGAGGAGCTCATTATAGGGAAATTTCGAAATTTTCCAGTGAAAAATCACTCCAGGAAAAATTCAAAGAAAATTGACTTATTTAAACAAAATTAAGGAAAAATCATTGAGGTAGAATAATAAGGAGGCGACATAAGGAGAAAAAAGCATATCCCACTTCCGCCATATTGTTACGACACTTCTGTCTGAGATTCTGTCACTTTTGTCATAGCAACGCGTCAAAATTACATCAGGGCCGCATTTTCCATCCGAAAATTTTTTAAATGCGAAAAATTTTTGAAGCCTAGAATTCCTATTTTGGGTCTTGGAAGGATCTCCTGTTTCAGTATGTTGAAGTTTCTGTAGCTACTTTTTTTTTCTTGGTGTAATCTCGATTTTTTTACGTTTTTTTTTTTTTGCAGTTTCGCTATGGAGCTCACGGGCCCGGGCCTGCACACATGGCACACCGGTAGATACACCACTGATCATCAACTATACTCATTGCCATCATACAAACTTTCACAAACAGTAAGCAGTCTTAAAATTGGATTAATATTATAAGGAAACAGATCTCTGGAAACCAACCGATTGATTTGCATATTCAACCTTATCAACACTGCCATGGTATCGTCCAATTCATTACTTCTAGATGTGTTACCTTCAACACAACTGCTAACAAATTTCGTCCAATTTCGTCTTGTATATTTGAGAAATCGCAACAGATAAAGCAAAAAACACGTTTCACTACCAACTAGATAGTCCAATAGCACATCTGAATCGTGATTAAAAATCTTTAAAAATTCTATAAAAGAATGAATAGGGTTTATCATTGTTGCCAAATCAGGAAAAACTGCGTTCCTATAAGAAATACCCACAGATATATCCAAAGTACAAACCATTGATTCAATTAGATAATTATCTTGATCATTAAACAAATGCACCATTGTTTTACTAAAAGGTGTCTCAGGATGAAAATCTGAAGCATTTTTAATAAAAGCATCAACTTTTTTCAAAACATCTCTTATTGATCTTTCAATCAGCTGCATATCTTGATAGAAATCATAATCATCAGATCCAACACTGGAATCTGAACTATCAGATCTAGTCTCCTTTATAGTAACTGCAACAGATTTCAAAACCAACAAAACCATTTTTTGAAGCAAAGTTCTGTCCACATTTGACTGATTTGGATCAGTGCTTGGAATAGTACCCACAAAACTGTTAACAGTATTGCCAGGCTCTCGCCTAAAAGGCAAACTATCCAGCAACCTATAATCCTTAACATACCTTACAATTAAATGAGCCAATTGGCAAGTATCATCAGGAACCATATCTTGCAACGCCAATGTACTACCATAACACAACACTTCATTAAATAAAGACAATAATTGATTCCAAATTATCGGCGGTAAATTATTATTCAGCATACCTATAAAAGTTTCCAAGTGAGCATAAAAAGGCTTAATATCAATCACACTTAAATTAGCCTTAACTGATATAATACCCTCCCAAAGTGTTAAAAAAGTCAAAATACAAGTTTGAATCTCAACAGAAGAATTATTAGAAATCAAAGTTTGTATTTTATGAATCAAATCTGGCCATTTTGATTCAAGGCTTTTAATTATGAGGCCTTTAATGCCTGAAGTATCGAAACTTTCAGAGTCACTGAAAGGCACCCTGACACAACTAGAATTATTTGAAGTTTTTTGTTCAGTGTCTTCGAGCACATGAATTTCAATATCTTTCCATTCAACTACGCGTTTGATTATTTCGAGTGCAAAATTCAATTTAGTGTAGTTAATAGATTCATTAGTCAAGTAACTTAAAATAGTTTCAATCCATTCATTGTTGATGTTAGTTTTGGCCATTATTAAAAAACTACTGAGCACTCTGGCTGCTAAATAATGTACACACTTATTTCTAGTTTCGCTTAAAGAAATTATTTGTTCTATTAAATTACATTGATTGAACTGGACCATTTCACAGTTACTGATGATTTTTGAACAAATAAATCCTTTGTTGTTTTGTTTGAGATAAACATCAAACAACAACTGAAGGTTGGATAAGAATTGTAAAATCCTACTGTGAGGCCATTCTAGTAAAATCACATTGTGTTGTTCAGTTAAAATTGTTTCTTCCATGCCACACAAACATTGTTTGATTAAGTGTTGCTGAAAAGTGTTTAGTGTTTCATCATCAGAATGTACTTCCAAATTAATAATTATATTTGGAGCTGGAGGTATTGATTGGCTACTGGTACTACTACTATCGTTTTCACTTTTATCACTGTCACTAATAAAGTTTTTTCTATTACCGTACTCCAAATCGTCCTCGTTGACCGTGAGGTGGAGGGCTTGCAAATTGGACTGCACTCCATTGTTGCAAATGAAGTCAGTTTCGTCAGGCTCTGCGGGATCGTCGGCATGTTTGGGTTTCTTTTTGAGGGGCTGTTCTGATGACATTTTAGATTGTCTTTGCCTGAGAACCATTAGAACTGGAGCAGAGGTACCGGGGTTGGATTGAATCAATTGGAGGCATCAGTTTAGGCTGGAGAGAAAAGATTACTTGTGATAAGTTGTTTCAAGACATTAGAATAAAAAGTCAAAAAGGAGTTTTAACTGATATTTGGCCTAATAATCTTCATTATTATTATTATTACTTAATAATTTGGTGATAAAACCATTATTGTAAACACAATTTTGCTTCTACATAGTTCAATATAATTGAGTACTATCGTCGCCTTCCTTACATTTTTTGATTTTTCAGGAGAGAAAAAAGTACAGATATTTTGTGAGATTATTTTCGTGCCAAATCTTAGATAGGCCTAATACTAAAAAAGGCGTATCTTTGAGATTACCTATATTTGAGATACGCGTTCTAGAGGGTAGCTCCCAAGAACCTAACTCAATTTAGCACTTTTTTGAGATACGTAAGTCCCTTTGTAAGGAAGGCGACGTTATGTTTAAACAATTATAAATTGATTTAGGCCACAATGATTTTTTAGAACTGACAATTAGGTATAACTGAGGGTATAACTGTTACTTAGAACATATAGTTCGAATAACTGGGAAACAGTCAGTATCATAGATTTATTACTCTTTTACAATTGCCTAGGTTTCGAGATTTGGAGATTTTAAAGGATTTTTGGAAATTTTGAAAGATCCTCTGTTGCTATTATAATATATTAAGCTGAAATAGTCGTTTAATCTAAGCTAATAACAACATGCTTTTGTGATTTGATGATAAATAAACTTCAAAATAAACATAATACAGTGTATATTACAGCTTACAGCTTTGTTTACAGTAGAAGTAGTTTAGAACTAAAGATTTATAGTGGTTTTTCCTCCAGTGTAAAAGTCTGTTTTTTTAAAGATAATAGTCAAAATGACATTAGGACATTACTTATGTTGGCAATACAATGTAAAATTGTCAATGCTTTCAAATTTTTTATGTAGAAAAGGCTTGTGTTACCAACAAAGTTACAGATTTGATAGCATCACTGCCGACTATAATGAGCTGCGTCAAGGTAGCCCCCCATAACCGAATTTCATAACTTTTTTGGTAGAATTCAATTGTGCTAGAATTGTGCTGAATTGTGCTGCCAATATTAGGAATTGTGCTATTTCAACATTTAAACATTATGGCAGGGCTAACTTGATGATCAGAATAGAAAAATGTTCTCCTTGAGAATCAAAATTGTGGTGCACATATTTTTCCTCCTACTTGTGTGAATCTTGTGAAAACACTGGAAACAAAAGTCACATTCAAAGCTACACTTAGACCGAATATCCCTTAAGTTATAGCCATGCAAATAGCCCCTGGTCTGGTATTATCAATGTCATTAGTGATAACATGTAGGAAAATTAGCTTCATTATAGACACACTCCTTCTCAGTTTCATATGTTAATTATAATTGTCCGTAACATTGAGTTAAGTTGAGTGGATCAGTGGATATAAATGACCATTTAGCCTCGCCATAATGCATAAATAAAAAATGGGATGTTGGAATGAAGTAAGAGAAAAAATACAGGGTGTCCCTGTTCAACTGGTCAAAAAAATGCTCGGGTATATAGAGGAACCATAGAGAAGTAGTTTGAGATAGGACACCGATGGTCGGAAGTCTGTCGATTCCAAAATACAGAGTGTTGAAATTTAAACAAACCTCTTTCATATTATCTGGAGGGCTAATGCTAAGCTGTTCAAATTTTCAAGGATTATTGATTTAGGAATGATATTTAAGAACTCATATAATGCACCCCCATTTTCTACCTGGTGGAACCACCCAAAAAAAAAATAAAAATTGATACAAATTGTTTTAAAATTTTATTTTTTTTTCTTTGGGTTGGTTCCAGGTAGAAAATGGAGGTGCATTAAACGAATTTTTAAATATTATTCCTACATCAATAGTACCTGAAAATTTGAACAGCCTAGCATTATCCCTTCAGTCAGATGATATGAAAGGGGGTTGTTTAAATTTCTACACCCTGTATTTTGGAAACGACGCACTTCCGACCATCGGTGTACTATCTCAAACTACTTCTCTATGGTTCCCTTATACATATACCCAAGCATTTTTGACCAGTTGAACAAGGGCACCCTGTATGTGCAGCACAATTCCAGCGATTCTCAAGAAAATCACTTTTTCCTAAATGAAAATTTTAAAAAACGATGGGGCTGACCTGATGGTTAGCCTTGCCGTAATGTTTAAACAAAAAATGGGATGTTGGAATAAAGTAGGAAGAAAAATATGTGCAACTCAATTCCGATTCGCAAGGAATTTTTTTTTTTAATGAAAATTCAAAAAAATGAAGGGGTGAACGTCAAGTTAGCCCCACCATAATGTTTAAACAAAAAATGGAATGATGGAACGATGTATGAGGGAAAATATGTGCAGCACAATTCCGATTCTCAAGGAAAACACTTTTTTTAAATTCGGAATTCAAAAAAATGGGAAGGCTGAGCGTCAAGTTAGCCCCCCTCTACTTTTTTGTAAATAACTCAGTTACCAAAATAGCACAATTCCTATTATTGGCAGCACAATTTTGCTCGATTCTAGCACAATTGATTTCTACCAAAAAAGTTATTATTAAATTCGGTTATAGGGGGCTAACATGACGCAGCTACTGTAATGGCTGCCTAATTTGACAGTTCGTTCATAAATTATTCCATAATCACTAGAATATTTTTTAGGAATTTCAATGATTTTTTAAGATTTTGCGAGATTTTTTTAAATTTAATAAAATTTTGTGGGATTTTGTAGGATTTTATAGGATTTTAAGAGATTTTAAGGGATTTTGATAAATTTTTAAGGATTTTAAAGATTTTTAGGGATTTTAAGCAGATTTTACAAGATTTTTTGGGATTTTGACCAACTTGTATACGGATTTTGATGAGTTAACCGCCCCTCGGTCACTCCTTAAAGGGGGTGTGACCTTAGAAAACGACTTAAGCTACTTAAATCAAGAAAAAAATTCTAAGATCTCTCGTGAAAACCGCAGTCCTGTATTCTGAGAAAATTCCTTGTGAAGATCAATTATGCAGGAAATTGTGATGTCACAACCGCCGAAATCGCAGTCTTCTGGTCGTTCAGTCGTCAGTGAACCGTACTCTATACTTTGAGTGGTTTCCCACAAAGATAACGTAGGGCCCTCTTTTGTAGCACAAATACAGACTGTATAGATTTTTGCGTAGAGTAACCCCAGAAAGCTATCCCGTATCTGATGTGTGATTCTAGTAGTGAATAATAAGCTGTTTTAGCTTCTTTTTTGCCAAGTTCCTGTACTACAGTCCTAACAATGTAACATCCGCTTGCCAATTTTTTATTTAAATGGTCAATATGGGAGTCAAATTTCAGTTGTGTGTCAATGTGCAACCCAAGAAACTTCACGGTTGTTCTATTTGCCAGGATTTCGCTTTCTAGTCTGAAGCCTGATCCTCGGGCCAGGGAGAAGAGCTCCCCGATAGAACGAATGTTTTGTCTTTGTCAACGTAATCGAAAAGTAAATGAGAATGATAAAGACGAACAAATTTTTCTCTCGAGGAGCTCTACTCCCTGGCTCGAGGATCGGCCCGCTGATGTCAGTCAAAGCATTGAGGTGCTCAGAGTGATAATTTTGGCTAATGAGGTCTGTTCTAAGGGTATTTAACTGTCAACTCCAAGTAGCAAATATGGCTAATTATTATTTCTGAGTGACAATATATTTACCTACCTAATTGTCAGATCCAAGTGACAATTATAGTTAATTGTCAGTAACAATAATGTCAATAATTATACCTTATACCTAATTGTCAGTTCTAAACTAAAAAATTATTAACAGTTTAAACTGATAAGAAATTACCAAAATTCTTTTAAGGCCTGGTTTATTCACTTTCTGATAAACTTTTGGGCCAGTAAATGCAATCTGACAGATAAAAATGCAATCTATGAACTTACTAGTCAGCTAGTTATTTGTGGATTATAGATTCGTAAATTTATCTTGTAGACAGTTACCAGTAAGTTTATCTGAAGATGAATAAACTAGGCCTAAAGTATGTTTTTTTTTTTCGATAACTAATAAAGTTCGAGACTTTATTATAAAGCCCTAATAATGTATAAGGTATGTAATAATAATGTCTAAAATACCTGAAAAAAGGCCCTACCTTTTAAAACGACAGAATTCCCAAAATGTGTAACAACTTCATTCAGTAGTCCACCAATGTTTTCAATACAAATCTCATTTAAGGCCTTGAATGGATCATTTTAAGTAAAATGAAGAGCCTAATTGGGTTCCTTATTGTTTAAACACCACAAAAACACTCAAAAATTCCAGAAAAACACTAAAATTTACACAAATTCATGGTGAAAAATTTCTGACAGATGATTATGGTGGTCCATGGGATCAATGCACCTGTTGCGCCTCACTTTTTGATCATTTTGGTGTTTTTAATGGGCATTTTTAACTGGAAATTCAATAAATGGGGCCTCAATTTTAAGTAGAAGCTGTTTTTGTTTAAAAACAGTTTATTTTATCGAGAAAAAGCACCCAACTTTGAATGGATAGTAAAACTAGTGGGATACCCATTCATCAAGGTAGAATGAATGTTTGCAACGTTGCCAAATTGATTTTCAGGATAATATAAATTAATAAGTAATTTATTGCAATTGAATTATAGGGATTTATTGCAAGAAGATTTAGTTTAAGAATTCATAGTTTTCATACAATATTTTGGGGAAGTAAATAAAGTAACTTTATAAACTGGGGATAGTGAAATCAGACAACATTGCATTTAATTTTGGGAGTGTGTTCGAAAACTACAAATTAGGCCGGAATTTCATGCATCCGTTTTTCGACGAAATATGTCCGAAAAATCTTCTATTTTGACATATTTTTATACGATTATGTCAGAATAGAATGTTTTTCGGACATCTTTCGTCGGAAAAACGGATGCATGAAACTCCAGCTTTATACTGAATGATTGCAGTTAGTAGTTAGTTCAGAGTCAAATAGTTGTATTCTTTCAAGAGTTCAGAACACTAGAGCTACTCGTTCCGGTGTTAGGTGTTAGTTGACCCCGATTTGAAAGGAACAGATGCTCTAGCTTTCGTAGAATTATTTGAATCGTTTGGTTGATTTAGCCACTATTTGAAAAAACCTAGAAGTTAATTCTAGTTTAGGTGTTAATTTTTTTTTAATAAACCCACCTTACGGCGGGTAACACTCGGAGCTGTTCCGGAGCTTTTTCTACAGGGTTGCGTTTAGAAATAGCACTCTGGGTGTGAGAGTGATACTAGAGTAACTCTTAACCGTTCATAAATTAACAGGTGCTTACTCGGAGCGTTACGCTGGAATCGTTCAGAAGTCGAGAGTTGACGTGCCCAGAGTGCGCTCAAATTACCCCGGGACTGGGTTGAAAAACGCCCCGACGTTTTTATCAGGTTTGACGTTGACATATAGCGCAACACCCCAATTACGTTCAGAAAAGGCGCACCCAGAGTGCATTCCAAGTGATGACGTTAGAACACTCTGACAAACAACTACCCTACCTTCACACTCCATTTCTAAACGCACTCCAGTAGGTGTGAAACGAATACAACTTTTAACCGTGCGTTCGGTATTTGATCTAAGTTCTCTGAGCTTGAATTTACCGTTCGTTTATTTAAAACGTGTACTCGGTGCAGGCTCATTCGCGTTCTTTTATTAAAATTTCGGGCACTCTAAAACAGAGTTCCACTGTTCGCTCGCTGATCACGTTATTACGGTTCCGCAAAATAAAATACCGAACGCAAGTTAATAACAAGCACTTCGAGCTGACACAGTTAGTGTAGAGGTAAAATCAGTTTGCAATCCGAGTCAGTACAGTTAGTTCAGCGCTGGTACATTTGTGCACTCGATTTACGGATACAAAGTTGGAATCGAAACGGAGAAGATTTAGAGCAGGTAAGTTGCTTTTGGGTAGCAAATTTTGTATACTGAATGATTGCAGTCAGTTCAGAGTCAATGCAGTTCGAGCTGGCACAGTTAGTGCCTAGTCAGGTTGCAATCCGTCAGTAAATTTAGTACAAAGTGTACTCTGGATTTACGGATACAGAACAACCAACAAGCTTCGAATATGTTCCGATATCAACTACTGTCCAGTACTGAATTTGCTGTACGCTGTTCCGATTGTTGTTACACACAGGCCTTATGAGGATAGTAGTGTGTATTATCCTTGCCCACACACTACGTTCTTTCTCGTCGGTTTTCATCGCCGCGATAAAACACGATGATCTAAAAACCGAAGTGTAATAGAAAACTGTCGTGTCTCATTGTCGATTTAAAAATTAAGTCCGTGGTTGATTTTTGGCACGACGTTTCAACATTTCGTTCCAAAACCGTTGTATGTGGGTCCAATTGCCAAAAAAAAAAAATCGCGTAGGTAGTATGAGTGAAAATAGAGCCGCTTTTCAGTGACGAAATTTAGGGTGCTCCACACCCTTCTCACTCGGGTGCTCCAAGCAACTGTTGTGTCACTGGAACGCACCCTACTTTAAGTGTCGTGTTTTTGATACAGCCATGAAATTGCTGGAAGTTGAGACTAGGCAGCAGAGGAAAAACGAACAGTTCAGTTTCGTGAAACTCTAATGCACTGGAACACCTATGAACAGTCCGGGGCGCTCTAGAGCAGCTCTTGAGTGCTTAAAGTGCGTGATTGAAAAACGACTCAGGCATGCTGACGATGAAACACTAGATCTGGGTTCGGCTATTCAGCACGGAATTGGAGTGGAGTAAGAACATATTTTTGTCACGTGATCTAGGAGTGAATAGAGTGAAAAATTAATACACGAACGACCGGAACGGTCGGAGCAAAATTGTCATACAGCTGATTTATGTTATTTGAAAACAACAGTCAACCGTGACCAGCGTTGCCAGACGTACGACAGGTGTGGTATTTGTACGACAGTTTAGGGCATATTCGTTACAAGAAAATCAATGCGTACGGTAGTACGGTAAAGTACCACAGTTTAGAAATATTGGGGTGATTGGTAATATTTTATGGTAATATGTACCACATTTCTACATTCTCCTTTTTTTCTTATGTGTGTTGGCCAAATTGGGTAAAAAATCTATGACAGATTTTCAAAGCTTGTGGCTTGAAAACAGTCTATAGGCAATTTTTCGCGAGGATAATCAATCAAGCATAATTTATCGATTATGCTTGATTATGTGATGTGTGAATTGTGTCATACCATACTCCCCCAACTCTCTCACCATCAAATTCTGGGATACTCGAGAATCATCAAGAACACTTAATTTCTTGTGAGAAAACAGACCGAAAATTATTTTTTCTACATTTAAAATCGACGAAAAAATTCACAAACTCACTAGCACAGCCTGAATCGCGAGTATTCCATCGAGGTCTGCGGGTGATGTCATCACTATAAGCTGCTGATAGTGACGTCACTCGCAGGCCCAAAATTTGATGAGGATGGAGTTAGGGGAGTAGAGTATGACACAATTGACAGTTTATCAGTTTATGGCCGAGTTCGTTTTTGTCATCTTTTTCGTCGATTTGCTCCGAAATTTTGACAGGCACGTTATTTGTAAATTGAAACTGTCTGATCCAGTCACGCTTCTGTCAAAATTTCGAAGCAAATCGACGAAAAAGATGACAAAAACGAACTCGGCCTCCTATATAGTACCTATTTATATCTCACTAGATTCTGATTGACAAATTACATAACCCAGCATAATCAGATACTCCTGTTGTTGTAAGGTCTAGTTCAAGTTTTCAACATTTTACGCTCTCAAACAAATCATATTTTTTCTAGTAAATATATATGTACTAAAAACGTAAGGTAATATGTGTACTACAAGTATTCATGACGCGTACGTCCCTGTACGACAGTTTTTGAGCATTGTGTACCACACTTCCATATTTAGAGTCTGGCAACGCTGACCGTGACTCGGGGCGGATTCCGTGCACTGAACTTCAATTCCTCCACAATAATGAATAATATGATGCTTTTGCCTCTGTTTAACTTTGTCAAAGAAATTTTTCCATCATGTTTAATAAATTTTAAAATTAGATCAATTATTTTACTCGATGATTTTACCAATTCCCGCATCCACACATAAACGATTTTTAATTTTTTTAATAACCACAACGTGACAACACAACAAGGTTGACAGTTTAGACATTTCACTTCTGCGCATGCTTACTCTAAAAAATTCTCTTTCCTAGGTGGAACTTTTGGAGTGAACTCCATTTACTCCACTCCGTATAGTCGAATGCTAACGGATTCACCCCTAATACGCCAAAAACCAATACCCGGCGGCTGGAATGTGAATGGAGTCACTCGGAGTGCACGGAGTAAGCAAGCCGAACCCACCTGACGTTGTTATGCGACGATGAAAACCGACAAGACAGAACGTAGTGTGTGGAGCCCTTAACGGAACATAGCTATCGATAAGTATTCCCTAGAGTGCGTTCGAAAAAGGGTTAAATTTTACCCAAGGGTGAGAGTAGGTATATGGTCACGTGGTCAGAAGAGTAAATTTTAACTGGTGTGTTCTCGAACGCACTGAGGTATAATTATAACCTAACATAATAAAATCATACATACACATTTAGGTCCAGTGTTCTGCGCATTTCACTTATCCGTTTGTACCACTTCTGTACCTATATTAACAACTTCCGAGAAACGGAAAGTGGAACAAATAAAGCCGACTGAATCTGAAAGTATATAGTAGATTTACATACATATATGGACCTATTCGGGTTTGAAAAAAGGACGGTTCTAGAATGGGTCAAAACAATCGCACAGTTTATCAACAAACAGAATGACAATGGCTCGGCTATCACAAATTTCCTTCAAATTACAGTGATAAACTATGCGATTGCTTTGAACGTTCTAGAACCGTCCTTTTTTCAAACCCGAATAGGCCTATTATGAAAAACTGACAAAAATGACAGAAGTGAAATTTACCTAGCGGCAGAGTTAGTTAAGAAAGAGTGCACACTGGGTAGCACCCCGGTTATTTTCTAATTCTAACTAGCGTGAAAGTCAACCGGAGTTTGTACCAATTCATTTTCGAACGGCTGGTGTGCACCCGGTGTGACGCCCAGGGTGCTTTCGAACGCACTCCCAATGTCAAATGTCAAACATTTTGCCTTCACCTTCAATTTATTTACAAACAGCCAAGCAAAATAACAAAAGTGATTTTAAAATTAAATAGAAAAACACCTTCTTTAATTATTGTCTTATAAAATCAAAAACCTTGAATAATTCAATTTAACTCACCTACTACAAAATTGTTATTTAAGTTGGATAAACTAAACTACACAAACCAATAATTTGAGGGTGTGTGTGAAATGTTTACATTAATTTGAATTCATTAAATTTCTTTGGCAATTATGGATAAATTTAGTCCAACAAAAAGTGGTCCAGGTACGTATAAACAAAATCAATTAATTTTCCACCTAAAAAATACCTATCTTATCTTAGTAAGCAATATCGCTGAGAATGAAGAACCGTATCCTAGCTTATCAGATTATCACGACTACGAACCGAATTTGGAGTTTGACGATTCCGAATTGCAACAAACGCCGAATTCCGGTTCGATATCAGGTAAGAGTTTTTGTGTTTGGGAACAATATACAATCAATAAAAACGTAGCAGATTTCATTCACGTAGAACCCAATGGGGTAATGGCAATGGGTACTTCCCCTGTTGCCGAATTCATAGACGAAAACTATGAGGAGGAACTTGCCGATGCCAGAGATGAGAATTTTGACAGTCTTGCCTTCACAACTTCATCTTATCCTGAAGTAAGATTTTAATTATTAATTCTATGGAGATTGCTTCTATGTAGTAGGTAGATCATTTTAATGAAAACATTTCCCATAGATTCTTCATTTTTACAGTCCCTAAGGTTTCAATGTATTGCCAATATGGAGATTAGAAGAATGCAAAAATATAAAACCTGAGATAAAACCTTTCCAAAAGAATCCTTTGCTACATTAAAATTTTATTTTCCTTTATGTCAATTTTTGATTATTCCATTCTCAAATTTCTCTTTTCTTACATGTTAATTTTTTACTTTCCCAGGCCCTTAGATTTTTAATCAAACATTCAAAAGCCTGAAATGGAAACAAAAAATATCATTAAATCATTTTACATACTTGTTGCACATTGACCCATTGTATAACTGTCAAGGGGTAAACCACCTTTGCCAAAAATGTAGGGAATTTGGCGGAATTTATGGGGAATTTGGAGGAACTCATTGGAATTTATGAAAATTTGGGGAATTTATAGGGAATTCAGAAAAATTTAGAGGAATTTTTGAGAAATTTATGAGGAATTTAAAGGAAATTGTAGAGTCATGCATGACGTCACTGAGGTTCACATTCTTATTAAGATATATAGTGAAACTTCCCTAACTCGAATCTTCAAGAGACAGGAAGGCGAGTTCGAGTTACAGAAAATTCGATTTATGGAAAAATACATAAAATTAAGGATATTTGAATACATATTCAGGCCTATGATGTATCATTTTCTGGTATTTAACAGCAACGTTAAGTTATCTGTCACTGTTTATTCTACATGTAAAAATAGAGACAGGTATAGATTTTGAGCTATAACACAAGTGTTAAAATAACAGGAGAGAATACATCATAGGCTGGATTATGTGTGTATTACTAAAAAGTAGTTAATAAATTATATAAACCAAGACAAGTCTATCTGTCGCCGCTGGTTATTAAGAATCGGTATTTTCCCCATGTGCACTAAATGCAGTAGGTGCTTCCCCGAAAAATTCGAGTTACGCTTAGTTGTCCCCATGGTTGCCACTAAATTTTAGTTCGAATTTTAGAAATATTCGAGTTATAGAGATTAGAAATTCGACTTACGGAGAAAAAAATACATGGTGAGGTTGTGGAAACCTATTTGTTTGTGAAGAAAATTCAAGTTTCACTGTATAATAATAAATGGAAATTTAAAAAAAAAAATCTAATTTTGTGTTGAATGTTGGAAATTCATTTTCATTAAAGAAATTCTCTCAAAACTACACTCCATGATTTACAGGTCCAAATTTAAAAAATTCAAAACAATAATGTTTTTGTAGGCTTATTTCCAAAATTCTTCATGTTGTTATTTTCCACTGAAAAAATTTGAAATTTTGGGAAAAGGAGCTTCTCACCTTTCTCTTAACATGCAAAAAGTTTCAAAATTTTCCCTTCACTAGTTTTCCAGGAGAACTCTAAAATATGTGAGACTGTATTTTCAATTAATTCAGTTATTGGAGGTTGATTTCCAAGATTCTTCATGTTGTTATTTTCTACTGGAAAAATTTGAAATTTTGGGAAAATGAGCCTCTGATCTTCCTCTTCACATGTAAAAAGTTTCAAAATTTCCCCTAATTAGTTTTCCAGGAAAACTTTGAATTGTGTGAGACTGTATTAACAATTATTTCTGTTTTTGTAAGTTGATTTCCAAGATTGTTCATGTTGTTATTTTCCACTGGAAAAATTTGAAATTTTGGGAAAATGAGCTTCTCCCCTTTCTCTTAACATGCAAAAAGTTTCAAAATTTTCCCTTCACTAGTTTTCCAGGAAAACTCTGAAATATGTGAGACTGTATTTTCAATTAATTCAGTTATTGGAGGTTGATTTCCAAGATTCTTCATGTTGTTATTTTCTACTGGAAAAATTTGAAATTTTGGGAAAATGAGTCTCTGATCTTCCTCTTCACATGTAAAAAGTTTCAAAATTTCCCCTAATTAGTGTTCCAGGAAAACTTTGAATTATGTGAGACTGTATTAACAATTATCTCTGTTTTTGTAAGTTGATTTCCAAGATTGTTCATGTTGTTATTGTCCACTGGAAAAATTTAAAATTTTGGGAAAATGAGCTTCTCCCCTTTCTCTTAACACGCAAAAAGTTTCAAAATTATCCCTTGATTAGTTTTCCAGGAAAACTCTGAAATATGTGAGACTGCATTTTCAATTAATTCAGTTATTGGAGGTTGATTTCCAAGATTCTTCATGTTGTTATTTTCTACTGAAAAAATTTGAAATTTTGGGAAAATGAGCCTCTGATCTTCCTCTTCACATGTAAAAAGTTTCAAAATTTCCCTTAATTAGTTTTCCAGGAAAACTTTGAATTGTGTGAGACTGTATTAACAATTATTTCTGTTTTTGTAAGTTGATTTCCAAGATTGTTCATGTTGTCATTTTCCACTGGAAAATTTGAAATTTTGGAAAAATGAGCTTCTCCCCTTTCTCTTAACATGCAAAAAGTTTCAAAATTTTTCCTTCACTAGTTTTCCAAGAAAAACTTTATTGTGTGAGACAGTATTTTTAATTAATTCAATTATTGTAGGTTGATTTCCAAGATTCTTCATATTGGCATTTTCCACTAGAAAAATTTGAAATTTTGGGAAAATTAGCTTCTCTCCTTTCTCTTTACGTGCGAAAAGTTTCAAAATTTTCCCTTCAAGAGTTTTCGAGGAAAACTTTGAAATATGTAAGACTGTATTTTCAATTGATTCAGTTATTAGAGATTGCTTTCCAAGATTGTTCATGTTGGTATTTTTCACTGGAAAAATTTGAAATTTTGGGAAAATGAGCTTCTCCCCTTCCTCTTAACATGCAAAAAGTTTTAAAATTTTTCCTTCACTAGTTTTCCAGAAAATCTTTGAATTGTGTGAGTTAGTATTTTTAATTATTTCAATTATTGTAGGTTGATTTCCAAGATTTTTCATGTTGTTATTTTCTACTGAAAAGATTTTAAATTTTGGGAAAATGAGCTTCTCACCTTCCTCTTTACATACAAAAAGTTTCAAAATTTTCCTTTCATTAGTTTTCCAGGAAAACTTTGAATCATACTCTCAATCCTATTTGATAAACTGCTCTTGTATTTTTACTAAGCGAAATAAAAATAGAAAAAATAAATTTCTTATCACGAGCAATTATGGGGATTTTTAAGGAATTTGTAGAATACATTTATGGGAAATTTAAGAGGGGTTTGGAGGTATTTGCAGGGAATTTAGAGGAATTTGTGGGGTATTTGGAGAAATTTGTGGTGGGGTATTTGGAGGAATTTGTGATAGGGTATCTCGAGGAATTTGCAGGAATTTTGAGGAATTATGCGTAAAAAAATCCCCTTTGAGGAATTGTTTGCACAAATTCTAGAATAGTGGTTTACCCCTTGATAACTGTACTGTAGGAAATAAATTATTGGAATTTAATTTGAATAATTACTAGGTTGGTGAATCAGTTGGCTTAGAGAAATTTAGTGAAATTGCTAAATACAATATAGTAGATGTAAAAGGCGATGATGCAGTGGGAAGAAAGGTGATTGTGCTTTATGCTTCCAGGTTGCCACCTGCTAAAGAAATCGATCATGGATTGTTTTTAAAGTAAATTTCCACCCAAATAAATACTCACTCCCTCTAACAAACCTTGTGTTTCAGCTACCTGAAATACACATTAGAATCTTATGTGAAACAAGACTACAGCTTGATGTATTTTCATTACGGGTTGACCAGCAAAAACAAGCCAAGCTTAGGCTGGCTAGTGCAAGCTTACAAAGCCTTTGATAGAAACTACAAAAAAAACCTCAAAGCTTTATATTTGATACATCCCACTGGCTTTTTAAAGTTTGTTTCGCAAATATTCAAACCATTGATTAGTGCCAAGTTTGGCAAAAAGCTAAACTACATTTACAGCCTCAAGGAGCTAAACGATGTTGTGTCTTTGGATAAATTAGACATTCCTTATGAAGTTATTGAGTAAGTTATTAATAATTAATTTTTCTATAATAAATAAATCAATTAAAGGTACGATAAAAAAATGAATGGCAACTACCCTGTACCAACCGCAACTGATTCACCTCTAACACCCACTCAACAATTTGGAGTTACCCTACAATTCATCAAAGATCACTATAATGTCACAATACCTCCAGTAGTCAAACAATGTGTAGAATATCTGGAACAACCAGACGCTTTGGAAACTGAAGGGATTTTTCGTCGTTCAGCAAACGCCCTTAAAGTTCGGGCCCTTAAAGATGTGGCCAACAGTGGACAAGCCTTGGTGTTTGAAGACCCTCACGAGGCTGCAGTGCTTCTGAAAAAGTTTCTCAGGGATTTGAGGGAGCCGTTGCTCACTTTTGAGCTTTATGATGAGATTATGCAGTTTCAAAGTACATAATAATTTTTCATGTTTTCAAGCAAATTTGATTGAAAAAATTATTTCAGGCTGGAGTAAAGATGAACAACTAAGAAATGTGTCTATATTAGTAATGGAAAAACTACCAGAGGACAATTATAAAGTCCTTAAATACATAATTGGGTTTTTATCAAGGGTGAGTTTTTTTTTTTTTTTGGAAAATCCTCAATTGAATGAATACTTCTCAGGTAATGGAACGTTCAGATTTGAACAAAATGAATGCACAAAACTTGGCGGTGGTGTTTGGACCAAATTTAGTCTGGTCTGAGCTTGTGTCAATGTCCTTAGCCGCTATAGGACCCATCAATATGTTTACCCAATTTTTGTTGCAGCACAACAATGAAATATTTATGATTTAAATGAGTTAATATTATAAATGTTGCTATATTTAATTTACTTTTTTGCGCAAGGCAGGATAATATATTTTTATACAGTGCTAATTTATTTTTCGGCTATACTACTAGTAAAACAGAAGATGCAACTTAAAATTTTATTAATTTAAAAAAAAAAATACTATAACTATATTATAATAACCTGATATATTCAAAGGATTGTCCACTTTATAAGGAAAAAAAATAAGATTTGTGATAGCTTTTTTTTGTTTTTCAATAATGCCCTTTGTAAAAGGGTAGTTGATAGTTCTTGTGAACCCAATAATCGAATGTTAGGAATATACAAATTTTATGTAAAGTAAGAACGAATTATTATAAAATATTAGTACCTTATATAATTTCAGTCAAAATACCAAAGACAAAAATATTTTTTTTGTAAAAATCTTGAATGCAGTTGCCAAGTTATTGAAAAGAAGAGAGACTTTTGTAAAATAGCATTCATCAGTATTAGTTTCTAAGACATTTTTTATTCCATAATTTCAGCTTCTTTCTAATAATAATTTGTTATTTTATCTAATTTAATAAAATTTATGGATTTATAAAATGGTATTTTTTTATTGCTAGATAATCCTCTTGACCATTTTTCTGGAGAATCAAAAATAAACAAAGTATGTATAGTAATAAAAAAATTAGAGAAGAATTAGGTAAAAATTGGTATACAAGAGGACATCATCCATGTTTTTTCTATTCCAAGTTCTTGAATTTCAACAAATTCAAATTATTTCAACTGTTTGTTTATGATTAGATGATTCTGACTGCCTTTCGGTTATAATTTGATGGCGGCTTTTGATTTTGGCGATTGATGCAGTATAGTACTGTAAATTTTGATATCTATGTTAAATAAAAAAAATGTAAATAGGAAAGGTGTATAGCTTGAGAAATAGTTCTCAGAAAACATAGTTTTGTTCATACAGGGTATTGCAGAAAGTTTAAAAAACTAAAAAATATATATTTTTTGAAAATTGAATTATTGAATATTCGGATTCTACGTAAAATTCTAAGCAGATTTCATGTGATATACACTATACCTAAGTTCAACCGTTTTGGAAATATTGACAGTTGAAATTCGACTTTTTAATTTTCCAGCAAAACTGATTTCACATTCTCATTTTTAGCGTTTCATCCTTTGACACCACTGTTGAGTTTAACCAAAGATTGAATTTAATTGTAATTTTCAATCATGGATTAAATTCAAAGTTAGTGTCAAATGATAATGAAAATTTAAGACATGAATGTAAAATCGGTTTTGCTATAAAATTAATCGTTTACGTTTTACAACCTGTGAACCTGTCAAAGTTGCAAAAAGTCAATTTTCAACTGTCAATATTTCCAAAACAATTGAACTTAAAGGAAGTGTGCGCCAAAAATTAAAGTTTTATTGTAAAAAAATCTAAGAATAAAGAATAACTGTTCGAACCTCGTTATTCTACGATAAACCATCGCTGAGATATACCGCTTTAAAGTGTGGACGACACTCTCGTGACGTCACGAAAACTTCTTCCAGTTGCGCTCCGCATGTTAATTTGATTGTTCTCGGCACCCGTGAGTGGTTTTTGTTTAAATTATTGCAGGTAACACAGAAAAAACATATGTAAATTTAATTAACTCTACTTTCTCGTGCGTTGCTTGAGCTTTCGTGACGTCATAGGGTTAGATGTGGTACCTTCATAGAGCCGTATCTGCGATATTATTTGTCATAGAGGGGTGCGGATTTCACTGTTATTCTTAGATTTTTTTTATCTTTTTTTATCTATCTATCTGTAGCTTGTTCTCTAGAGCAGATAATTCTAGACTACTTTGGAGCAGGCTACATGAGAGGTTTCTATAGTAGCCTCCTCTAAAGTTCTGGAGTAGGCTGTTCTCCAGAGTACTCGATAATAACCTGCTCTAATCTAGAGTACTCTGGAGTTCTGTGGAATAAGCTACTCTTAAATAAGGCTCTCTGGAGTAAGCTACTCTAGAATATTCTCGAATAAGCTACTCTAGACTCTGGAGTGGCCTACTCTAGAATACTCCGAAGGAAATTACTCTAGAGTGAGCTACTCTAGAGTCAGCAACTCCAGAGTACTCTAGAGTAAGCTACTCCAGAGTACTCTGGAGTGAACTACTACAGAATAATCCAGAATACTCTAGAGTAAGCTACTTCAGAGTACTCTAGAGTGAGCTTCTTTAGAGTACTCTAGAGTAAGCTACTCCAGAGTACTCTAGAGTAAGCTACTCCAGAGTATTCTAGAGTAAGCCACTCCAGAGTACTCTGGAGTAGACTACCCCAGAATACTCTAGAGTAAACTACTTCAGAGTACTCTAGAGTAAACTACTCTAGAGTGAGCTACTCCAGAGTACTCTGGAGTAAGCTACTTTAGAGTACTCCAGAGTAAGCTAAGTAAGTGAATGAAAAATATAGAACAAAAAAAAAACGAGAACAAGAGAGATAAAACTACTCCAGATAAAAAAACTATACAGAGGGAGAGAGATGGTATCGATTGGTAAAGTCAAAATTGAGCAAAACTGAAAAATAAAAAAATCGAGTTTTTTTTTCCAAGTGTACTTTTTCTGAATTCTAAAAGCCAACTTTGAGTCTCAATTGCTCAAAAACTATTTGAGCGATCAAGCTCAATTTTGCACGGATTTTTAGAGAATTTATTGCTCTTTCCAATGATATACAGGGTGTCACGAAAGGTTTGTTACAAATTTCTAGTGATGGTAGTGGCTTCGGTTTAACAAACCGGAACATACTGCTCAAATTCGAGTGGTATCGAACACGTCTCTTTATAACCGGATTAGAAAACGGTGTCATTTCTCTAACCTGCTCGGCGAAATGGTTAGCTGTGGTTATAAGTTTAACGGTTATTAGAACAAAAACAATAGAAAATTTGTAAACAACAGAGAGCGGGAAAATTGTGACAAGTGTAAACTGAAATATTAAGTTGTGTTTTGTTAATATTTTAAAGTTTCTACCTATCAATCGACGAACATGGAAGCAATTAAAGTTAAAATAAATCAAAGGGACTTTTTTTTTTAGATACACGGGAAATTTTGGTGCAATTAGAAAGTTCTCGTGCCTCAGACGCTACGCTAATACGGTACCGCTAACGATTCGGTATTTCACATATGGTATTTTATAGTTCTCGGACACGAAGACACACCCTTCCCTTATTCTGTTTACATTTTGACAGCTGAGTTGAGTGATCTAACTCAACTTTTTTTGCTTGTTTTCTAACTTTCGTTGATCCTGAAGATTCCTGAGTTTGATTAATTTTCCCTTGGTGTTTTTTATGGAGAAATTATTAGAAGTTGCTATTTTCGCAAACATAAATGGAGCGTAAACTAGTTTTGAGATAGCATAGAGTTACGGTAAGGCAACCGCTAAGTTCCGTTAGATAGCGGATTCCGCTAATGCCGTAAGAACTGTCATACTTGTCAAATAGCGTTACGGTATTTGAAATTTAGACGGCATGAGAACTCTGTATTACTAGAAGGTTAATCAACCTATTATAAATATTTAACAGGTGGTTGGATTGCTTAAATTTTAAAAACATTTTTTTAACCGTTTGTTTTCGAGTAGCATTTTTAATAACGTTATCACTTGACATACTGCTACTAATTGTTTTGTAACCCGGTTAGTTTAAACCGGAGCCACGTGAAAAGGACTACTCATTCTATCAGTTTTGACCAGGCTTGTTCCAAGAAAATTTCCAAGAGTGCATTTAACTACCAATAGTTGTATTCCTTTCAAGAGCTTGAAACACTTGAGCTACTCGCTGCGGTGTTTAGACGCCCCCGATTTGCAGGGAACAGATGCGTGGTGGAACAAACACTTTTCGAAAGGAATAAGCGCGTGAAGCTCCGGAGCCGGAGCTGTTCCAGAGCTCCTCCTAGGTGTGAAAGGTATACAACTATTGAAAAATTGTGCATATTGATTGTGCACATGCCTAAAAATGACGTAAGTGACGCAATTAATAGCGCCATCTCTTGGGTTTTGCAGAAAACAGGGGTAGAACGTCTTACAAGTTGTCGAAAAATTGATATTTATAGATGGCGAAGAAATAATTTTCTTACACCGATTTCCTACAGTTTGCAATAAACAATAATCAATTTTATTTCCTACTGAATTATTAAGCATGGTTACGATAATCATAAACATAGTTTCAACTTCCAAGGGAGTTAAGGATTTCATAACTCCCGCGCGGGAGTTAAGGATATCTCATAACTCCCAAAGGAGTTAAGGTAAGGATTTCCATAACTCCCCCCACTGAACAAAATAAGATTACAGTAATAATGAGGTAACATTCCACTGCAAACTTGTAAGGTTATATTGAAGTTTACTGTAACGTTGACGCAGTATTGCGGCAAGTACTGAAACAACCTTAGGGATATTACAAATGCAAGGCTTATAAATGATAACCTTTCAGCAATATTACTGGAATATTAGATCAAAACTTCAGCAAACTTACGAGTGTAAGGTTACAAATTCAAATATACCTTAGGGTTACTTGCAATTTATTAGTAAGTTTACTGCAATATTGCATTTTTATTACAAATATATTGGGTTCGCAACTTTACTGAAATAAAAAAGTAATGTTGCAACTGTAAATGCTATGTATGTACCTATACAGAGAGATTTGAGTTGCGGTGCATAAACTCTAACAGCTTAATTGTTCTAAAAACAAGCTGTTAAAATAACAACTTGTTCTAAAAACAAGCTGTTAAAATTTGTGCCTGAAACCCATAATCATATATTAGGTAGATATTTTATTATGAATAAAAGTACAAGTTTTTGGAAAACAAAATAAAAAGGTTGGTAGGTATATTATGTATATCTATAATACTCACAATAAAAAAATATACTTAGGTGAAAAACAAAACGTAAAAAGTAATATCTCAAAGCAAAATAAATAAAAATTCTAAACAGAAAAAAAAAGCGAAATTTTAGATTGGTTGACACACAGGACGAAGTAGGTACTGGCTGCTACCATAGCTGCTACTTATATTGTCACCTGAAACAAAAACAAAATCAGGGAGTAGTTCTGTATTTTTATTATAATAATTATTCCCTGTCGTAGCCACTTTCTTTCTGGACATTACCTACCAAACGGTTTACGATATTTTTGATCCTAACTAAAATATTATCGTAAAATCATAATAAGTAATATAATAATAATACGGGATTTGTAGGTATGAAAAAAAGAGTTTACGGTTTACAAAAAAGGGGCCCCATTCCGCAGTATTTTTGTAAAAAGTATTTATTGACTATGCAAACCTTACTCACCTTATTTGAATCCTCATCCATTGTAATCGCTGTATATTTATTTCATTTCCACAGATTCTAAAATAAAAACTGAATAATAAAAATAACCAAAAAGCAAAGCACTACCTGAACCGATCCAATACATAATCCCAACACAAACACCAAAAATTTAGCCGAGATTCGCTTTATCAGAGACACAACATTCAACAAGCAGACACAGCACTCAACTCAAACGACAAACAGCAACTTGATGGCGTCGATTTGCTTTCGGTTTAGTTCGTATCCCCGATGTCG